GTTTTTTGTTATGTGAGACGTTCGTTGACGGCCAGATCGCCACCCCCTTGGCCGCCTCGCGTAGAATGCCCCGCATAGATTGCGCCGCGTAGATTTTCCTGTTTAGAAAATTTGCTCAACCCCCACCATGCCCCCAGGATTACCACACCCCCCCTCGGGGTATTGCAGTATGCGCATGTTTTGATGACTCGTTGTTCATTTTCCATATGAACCCATATCCTCCCAGCTGGTCCTGGTATCGCCCCCCTTCATCCTTGGCAAATAATGCCATGCGGGCCACATGCGCGCGCGCAAGAAAAAGAATCCCCTGGAGCGTCGTGATCATTCTCGTCGTCGTTTGTTGACGCCGTCGTCCGCGCTGCCTCCAGCAAAATGGACTTTGCACGGACGAGGGTCCGCGCGCCAATGAACACAATGAACTGATCGGATAAGCCCCATGATGCAACTGCGCTCGCGATCTTATGAATTCTGCCAACACCTCAACGTCGTATGTCGACGCTGTCGTCCGCGCTGTCTCTCGCAATATGGACATTGCCCACGCCACGGGGGTCCGCGTGCCAGTGAGATCGATGAAATTTGCGGACGAACTCCACGCTGCAACTCCAGTCGCGACCTTCTGAGTTAAGCCGGCCAAGATGCGGGTGGGAGGGTGGGATGTTTGCACGAACGAAGGAGGTGGTCACGCGCGGTGCAGCGTGGTCGCGCGCGGTGCAGCGCGGTCAAGTTCCACCACCCTCCCTCCCCAGGCTTCAAGGTCCCCCTGTTCGTATTGCAATTTACGTATGATGTTGCCTCATCGTCCATCCCAATTATGAATCTACACTATCCCAGGGGGGCCTGTATCGCCCCCCCCCGACATCCTCTGCAACAAAACCTATGCGCGCACACTCGTTCATAAAAAACACATAAGATACCAAGAATCCGTTAGAACAAACGGGGCGAAGTGCACACGCTCGCGTCGTCGCGCGCGCACGCCGAAACCCTTCAAAACCATAGGTTTCGGACTGGGTTCGGAATCGAGTTTTCAAAACAAACAAAAACATGGTAGCACGACACGGATTTCTAAAAAAGTTGGCGCGCGCTCGTATGGGATCTCTCAAGAAAACCATAAGGTGTCAAACTGTTCAGAAAATGCTACCAAACGGGCTTCGCCCGCGCGTCGAAATCGTTCGAACGCCCTTGCGCGCGCGCCGTCGCGAGAGCCCCGTGCAAAACAAAACGAAGTGCGCGCGCGTGTCGTCGCGCGCGCATGCCGGAAATATTCAAAACCTCCGGGTTCGGAAGGACGCCAAATTCGAGTGTCCAAAAGATATAGAGAAACACTAGGTTTCGCAACACGGATTTTAACAAAAGCGTGCGCGCGCGCTCTTGCGTCGTCGTCGTCGACGCCGTCGCCGTCCTCCCTCCTCCCTCGCCGTCGTCGTCGTCGTCCTCTGTCTTCCCTCGTCGTCGTCGTCTTCCCCTTTGGCATCGTTGTCGTTTCCGTCGTCGTTGTCGCCGTCGTCGTCTTCCCTTCTCTTTCGTCGTCGTCGTCGTCCGTCGTTGGCGTGTCGTCGTCGTCCCTCCGATTTCGTCGCAGTCGTCGTCGTCGCCTTCCCTCCTCCCTCGTTGTTGTCGTCGCCGTCGATCGCGTCGTCGCCGTCCTCCGTCCTCCCTCGTCGTTGTCGTCGTTGTCGCCGTCGTCGTCCTCCCTCCTCCCTCGTCGTCGTTGTCGTCTTCGTTGGCGACGTCGTCGTCGTGACCGTCGTATCCGTCGTCGGCGTCGGCGTCGTCGTCGGCGTCGTCGTCGTCGTCGGCGTCGTCATCGTCGTCGTCGCCGTCTGCGTCGTCGACGTCGTCGACGTCGTCGTCGTCGTCGGTGTCGTCGTCGTCGTCGGTGCCGTCGTCGTCGACGTCGTCGGAGTCGTCGTCGGTGTCGTAGCAGTCGTCGTCGGCGTCGGCGTCGTCGTTTTCGCTGTCGTCGTCGGCGTCGGTGTCGTTGCCAAGTGCCAGTTGGTACCTACCGCAACGATCTTAAGAGATCTTGCGACCAAGTGTCGGGTGGAAGTGTGGGATGTTTGCACGAGCAGTGGGGAGGACAGCTTCAAGACAGCCAAAGTGGATTGCACCACATATTTTGCTCCGCAGAGGTTGCACACCATAGATCGCACCACACATATTACCCACCGTATAGTTCAGAACCTGTCTCGTGCAACGTAGATGTTGGATTGCATAGTTTATACCGCATGGTTTGCACCACGTAGATTGCACCCCCAGGTTGCTCCACATCGCTTGCGCCACTTTTTGGCACCGCACGAAATTTACCATAGATAGCATAACACAAAGTGCACATCGCACCGCATCTAGCACCACATCAATTGCACCGAGTAGATTGGGCCGCATAAGTTGCACCACATGCGTTGCAGCACATGGGTTGCACAACATCGATTGCACAACCTGTATCACAACACATTTGCTGCTAAGCTCAACATAGACGATGTGGATATGATAACCCACACAGGGCTACGTATGTTCCACAATAAGAAACGCACCACAAATGGTGCCAAACCTTGATTCCACGGCATATATAGATATTTATATATATATGTATATGTATATATACAGATCTATACATGAAACATGGTGACCACGATTGCCTGTCACCACTTGCCCCACGTGCAATGCACAACACAGACTGCGGGCTCACACTCCGATCGGGATTAATCGTGATTACCCTTAACCGGGCTGCTACTACAGCAACAACTACTGCTACTACTACCACAACTGCTACTACGTCTACTACTGATACTATTTATACTACTTCTACGACGACCAGCGCGAATAATCTACTACTACTACTACTACTACTACTACTACTGGTACTGCTACTACTACTACTACTACTCCTACTACTACTACGACTACTGTTACTACTACTACTACTACTACTACTACTACTACTACGACTACTACGACTACTACTACTACTACTACTACTACTACTACGGCTACGACTACTACTACCACTACTACTGCTACAACTACCACTACCACATGTAGTACTGCTACTACTACTACTACTACTACTATCACTATTTCTTCTTCTTCAACTACTACTACTCCCACGAAGACTATTACTACTACTATTACTACTACTCCTGCGACTACGACTACGGCGACTACAACTACGACTGGTATCACCACTACCACTTGCACTACTACGACGGCTACTACTCCTACTCCTACTCCTACTCCTACTCCTACCCCTACTACTACTACTACTACTACTACTACTACTACTACTACGACTACTACTACTACTACTACAACTACTTCGAGTACTACCACTACGGCTGCGACTCGTACAAATACTGCTTTGACTACTACTACTACTGCTACTACTGCTACTACTACTACAACGGCTACTACTACTACTACTACTACTACTACTACTACTACTACTACTACTATGACGGCGACTACTATCTCTACTACTACTACAATTACTAAGAATACTGCTGTTACCAGTACTACCGGCACTACCACCACTACTACTACTACTACTACTACTACTACTACTACTAATACCACTACTACTACTACTACTACTACCACTACTACTACTACTACTAGTGCTACTCCCACCACTACTACTCGTATCAGTACTAGTACTCGTGCTAGTATTACAGCTGCTACTACTACTACTACTACGACTACTACGACTACTACTACTACTACTACTACTACTACTACTACTACTACTGCTACTACTACTACTAGTTCCGCTCTCATCACTATTACTTCTACGACCACGACGACGACGACGACTACTGCTGGAACCACGGTTCACCCAGAGGAAGGCGACGACAACTAACGCTACGAACACGCGGTGACACCAACTCCATCGGGGAACCCCCGCTTGGCGAGACCCCGCCAAGCGAAGGCCACCCTCCCCGTACTGAAAAATCAATCAATGTCCAATCGGGGAATCATTCTGGATCAGAACAGGCGTCGGATCCGTCGGAATTAGCACGGGATGAAACAATCAAATCGGATCGGCAGATCGGGCCAAGCAGAATCGGCATCGAATCAGATCGATCGGATCGAAATGGACCCTTGATGGCGAGATGGTCACATGCTCGATTTCACCGACGGCGGGATCACGTCGCGATGGCACGGACAGGTGTCGTGTCGTGGCCACCTCGGCGCTGGCTTCTGCCGTCGGTACTGGTCCGAGAATCGAGGCCCGAGGCTTTCGGGAACTTTCGGACCTTTTGGGCCTCAAGGGACTTTCTCGTCGCCACGGCTGGATCCCCTTCGAACTGCTGGCAAACACTCGTACGCGAACAAGTCTGGGGAAACGGTTGTTGTCCAGGGCGGGTTCGTGGCGTGACGTCGGCGCTGGTTTCTGATACCGCGTGGGTTTACCAGCCAGAAACACATCCCTATCCCTATGCTGGGCATCGCCTCGTCACGATGCCGATCTTAAGGATTCCCTCTGTTTCTGAGGATGCATCCCTAAGATTGTCATCGCCTTTTGGCGTGCCAATCTCAGGGATGGGGATAAGTTCAAGCCTGGTGATGGATCGTTCAGCCCTGAACGATAACGCGCTTCTGGTAGCGCGCATCCTTGAGGTCGGCCGCCATCCGGGCAGCTTGAGCAACATGGAACGCCATGGCTAGATGTCACCGCCGCGTTGACGCGGCGCGAGCCCAACGCATGCGTCACACGTACATTGACATCCGATGCCTTGACTTGTCAATTCGGGGTCTCCAGAAGCTCTCACCATTTCCCCAGGGCAAGTTTTCCATCCTGAGTGTTTTTGTTGAAGGTCCTGGGGCCCAGTGTGGCCCCATGCGAGGGGAAACGTCAGAAAACGGCGAAATTGCTCAGCCTTGATGTCTCTAAGGCGTTGGATGCCAGGCTTTCGGGTCAGAGTTTGAGCTTCTGGCGGCCATTCGGGACGACTCGGGCACCTGTGCAACGCTTTCGGGGAGGCGATGCTGTTGAAAAGCATGCCGAGGCTGGAGCTGCTACGCGAAGCTACGAAAAGAGGACGTTCGATCCCTGTGCACGCGGAAGCGATGCTTGCTTTCCCTCGCAACGCGCCTGCGCAGAGATCTCCTCGGGCGCGAACTGCTTGCCGCCGATCGGGCAGTCGATCTTGAGCTTGGAACCCACGGTTTCCACTTTGTACGACACCTCCTTCAGCTCCTCCTCGCGGGAGGGTGGGGAGGAGGAGGAGGAGAAAGAGGAGGAGGAGGAGGAGGAGGAGGAGGAAGAAGGGGAGAAGGGAAGATAAGGGAGGAGAAGAAAGGGGGAGGAGGAGGAGGGAGGAGGAGGAGGAGAGGAGGAGAGGAGGAGGAGGAGGAGGGAGGGAGGGAGAAGGAGGAGGAGGAGGTGGAGGAGGAGGACGAGGAGGAGGAAGATGAGGAGGAGGAGGAGGGGAGGGGAGAGAGGTGAGGGGGGAGGAAGAGGAGGAGAAGGAGGAGGGAGGAGGAGGAGGAGGAGTAGGGTGAGGAGGAGGAGAAGGAGAAGGAGGGAGGAGGAGGGAAGAAGGAGAGAGGAGGAGAAGGAGGAGAGGCGGGAGGAGGAGGAGGACAGGAGAGGAGGAGGAGGAGGTGGAGGCGGAGGAGGAGGAGGAGGAGGAGGGAGGAGGAGGGAGGAGGAGGGAGGAGGAGGAGGAGGAGGAGGGAGGAGGAGGAGGAGGAGGAGGCGAGGAGTAGGGTGAGGAGAGGAGGAAGAGGAGGGGGAGGCTTTGCGCAGTGACACACGTCTCATTCAGGGACTACTGAGGTGACTTAGGACGGGAGGGTGCGTTGCACCATCGTTGCTGCATCTCAGGTGTACTCTGGCCTGGTCCTCCTGCACCCAGGTGAACCGCACCGCGAGCTGGCCTTCCCACGCCGGATGCAGCGAGCGCCTCCAAGATGGCGGAGAATAATGGGGCACGATGCTTCTCCTCTGGGGAACGTCGGCTTGATGGGGCACGGTGCTCCTCCTCTTCCTCCTCCTCCTCCTCCTCCTTCTCCTCCTCGTTCTCCTCTGGGAGCCCCAAAGTGCTTCCCAGAAGGAGCTTCGCGCAGAAGAGGTCGAAGTTTCGCGCAGCATCCCCGCTGCATCATGATGCGGCGGTGACGTGGGGACGAAGATAATCGGGGTCTGGATTGCGGAGCGATCATCCGACCCCGTCTGCTCCTGGCCCGCTGGGGCGGCCTGGAACCCACGAGCTCCAGAAGACAAAGCAACGCCCCCGAAACCTCGGTGCTCGAGCCTTCGTGATGTCGCTGAAGCCGTTGTTGGTTACTCGCCATGACGCCTGTGGCCGGCCCCATCCTCCCCCCCCTCTCCCCCCCTGGTCACGTTACGATTCGCGCCAGCGCCGTCTGGGTTTGCCAGACAGTCGGACTCGATTGGACAGGGCACGCGAGAGGACACAAGACCCTTCCGAAGGCCACGTCGTCACAGGAATTTAGGAAGCATGGGTCGCGAGACACAGGACACAAGGGTACCCTGGACTTGGCCGGGTCGCCCTACTAATCTGGGCCGACTGTAGACTGGCTCATTCCCGGACGGCGCCGACGCGAATCGGGACGTGACCGGCCCACACCCCCGACTCCCCTCAGTCACGCCCGCTTCTCCACGGACCTACGAGGCGAATCCAGCGGTGGCGACGAGGGCCGCCCAGGAGGCCCAAAAAGGGGAAAACGAGGGAGTGGTAGATGTATGGGTACCCTGTCCTCCTCTGAGTCATCGCCAGGTGTTTTCGAGAGCTGTCATCTGGCGTGACATTGTGCTGCGCCCTCCCAAGTTCCTCTCGGGGACGCACTGACCCGGGCCAATGCAACCGCGGGTCAGTCGGGCGTTGCAGGATCCTGCAAGATCCTGCACCCATACCCGGGCCGACGCGAACGATCCTGCAAGATCCTGCAGGATCCTGCACCCAAGCCCGGGTCCATGCGACCCCGGCCCTGCCGGATCCTGCAAGATGGAAGGGGCCCTGGGACACACACACACACACACATAGATACACACAGATGACAGGATCCCCGATAGTTTCTTGGTACACACACATAGATACACACACAAATGACAGGATCCCCGATGGTTTTCTTGGTTCTTGTCCTCCCCCCCCCACTTCCCAGGTTTGACCACAGTTTCCCGCATGTTCTGGGGATCGACGATCCATTGTGTCTGTGCTTTTGCTCCCTCCCGGAAGAGGCGGCGCTCTGGCCGACCCCCGCCCTGCACTCGCCCCCCGCCCCTCGAGCCCCCGCTCCTCGACCTCGGCGGACGTCCGGCCGACGAAGCGCTTGACCGAGTAGAACGTGTTCTCGGGGTTGATCACGGCCTGGCGAGGAGGGGGGGGACAACGGGGGCCATCCTGCACCTCCTCCTCCCTCCTCCCTCCTCCTCCTCCTCCTCTCCTGCTCCTGCTCCTGCTCCTGCTCCTGCTTCTCCTCCTCCTCCTCCTCCTCCTCCTCCTCCTCCTCCTCCTCCTCCTCTCTTGCTCCTCCTCATCTCTTGCTCCTCCTCCTCCTCCTCCTCCTCCTCCTCCTCCTCCTCCTCTCTTGCTCCTCCTCCTCCTCCTCCTCCTCCTCCTCCTCCTCCTCCTCCTCTCCTGCTCTTCATCGCCTTCCCCTTCGATGAGCCCGGCAAGTCACCGTCCTAACACTCAGCGGCGAGCGAGGGGGGGAAGAGAAGGGGCGCGGCGGGCCTTCTCGGAGGGCGCAGAAGTCCCCCGGCATTCTGAGAAGCTCTCTAAATCTTCCCCCAAAGCACGGGAAACTTCTCGGAAGGCGCGAGGGCTTCTGAGAAGTCCCGCTGCTTTCTGAGAAGACCTGCTCCTTCTCGTTCACGGCCCCCGCTTGCTCGCAGCCGAGAAGTAATCAAGGCATGACTCTTTTACTCCCGTTTCGGCCCCCGGGTGGCCCTCCCGGGACCCCGTTGCCGTCAAAAAACGACTCGGGGTGGAAATCGGACCCCTGGGAGAAAAGGGTTTGGACTTTGGGGAAAGGGTCGGAACCGCCTCCTCCCCAACCGCATATCACTCCTTGCTGCCCTCCCACTCATCAGCCCCTTCCTCGGAGGTGGAAACAAGGCAGGGGGGAGGGAGAAGTTCAAGGAGCTTGGGGGAGAAAAAAAAACAGGAGTCGGAGGATGATGTACGAGGAAGAAGGAGGGTGGGAAAACAGGAGGGGAGGCATCGGGAAGGCGACGGGAAAACAAGAGGAATAACGAGGAGGATCTGGAGCAACCAGAAAGACGGCACGGGGGACAGGAGGATTCTGAAACAGTCAGGGGGCGGAGACTCAAGCGCGGACAGCGTCTGAGTCGTTCCTTCACGGCCCCCAGGAGGCCGAAAACTTGAAGCAAACTGGTTCGACTTGCTTCAAGACGTTAGATATCAGAGTCGCCGTCAATCTCTTCCTTGCCCTCCTCCCCATCTTCCCCCCCTGCTCGCCCCCACCCTCACGAGCCCAGGATATATATATATATACACACATATACATATATGTGTGTGTGTGATATATACACCTGCTGCCTGGGGGACCGACGTCCTGAGCCCCCAGCGGGCGGTGGATATTGAGATTGGTTGGCCCCGCGGGGCCCATGTGTGTACACACACATCTCTCCCTCTATATAAATACACATATGCATAGCTTGAGCCGTAACTGTGTTCGTGCATGTGTACTTATTCACAGACACACAAACCCCACATCAGGCCCATGCACAGGCCTACACGCGTTCCCATCTCCGCTCGCCCTCCTCGCCTCCTCCCCCTCCCTGCCATCCCCCCCCCTTCTTCTCCCTGCCCCTCCTCCCCTCACCCCTCCCCTCAACACTCGGGTCGGGCGAAAGGGGGGGATAGCAAAGGGGGGGTTGAGAATCAGCTCACGCAGCTGATCTTCCCGGCGCCTCCGGGCGCCGGAGGCGGCTGTCTATCCAGGAATGGGCCCCTCGGTGAGGCCGAAACCAGCTGCATGCAGCAAATTTCGTAACCCCCCCTTTCCCAATCCCCTCCCCTCACCCCTCCCCCTCAACACACTCTGGCTGCCCGGGGAGGCCGGCAGAGGGCCGCGGCTGCGCGGCCTGACGCTTCGCGATCTGCCCCACGAGCATCTCCCCGCTCTTGGAGCCCGCCGGGCCCCCCGCGCGCCGCAGCGGCCGGGGGGCGCCCGGGCGTCTCCGTCGCCGTCGGTCATCGTCGACGGGTCGTCGTCGTTGGCGATGCCGACGCCGCCGGCTGGTGTCGCCGACCTCGCGGTCGTCGTCGGGGGGTCGTCGCCACCGTCGAAGGCGTCGTCGTCGTCGTCGTCGTCGCAGCACCCGTCGCCGTCAGTCGTCGTTGGCGCCGAATCCCCGAGATCGGGGCGTCGAGAAGCGCTGCTTCACAGCCGTGTGTTCTCGCCCGCACTCGGTCCCGTGGGCCCTCAGGATCGACGCGGCTCCAGAATTGCCGCGAGGAGCTGGGGCCGTCGGAGGCTCCGGTCGCAGTGTCTGAGGGGCAACGATAGGGAGGGACGACTGGCATAGAGGGGGGGAAACGTCGACCTGCAATCGGCGACGCATCGCCAATAGATCGGCGATAGGCCCCCGACAGCGAATCCGCACCTTCCTGGGCGTGGTGGGGTTGTCGGACCCCTATCCGCGATCCATGGGCGATTGGGGGTCGATGCCGCCCCCCCTATGCCTATCCCCCCTGTCGTTATGTTGTTCCGATCGATTTTAGCGACCACATCCCAGAAATACTTTCGAACACCCAGAAAAAGTGACGAAACAGTGTCGACCGGGTATCGCCTCCCAGGGCCCGACACGTGAAAACTTTCGAGCTTCGGGACTCTCGTGGTGCTCGAAATGAATCCTGGTGATCCAGGCTGAAAGGTAGGCTGGGACATCACAATGAAGATTCGGGGTCGATGAAGCCCCCCTATGCCCATCCCCCCCTACCGCTGCCCCCGAATCTCTCACAATGTGACATGCCTGGCTACACTGTGCTGCAGGCACGTCGAAGCTCGCCGCCGCTGTTGTCACGTGGTCCAAAACGTAGCTGTCGTCGCGGCTCGCCCCGCCGCGGCAGCCACGGGCGCCCCGGCCTCTACGTGATGGGCCGCCATCGCCAACCCTTCTAATCTGATCTAAACTGGTGCCTGCGAGGTGGCCCTCCTACCGCCTACAGCACAGCACAATCAGTGAGAAAAGGAACGACAAGGAGAATCGCTACAATACGTCTCAGGACTCAACAATGTTCAAACGGCGTCACTGCGCCTCACACGGAACCAACAAAGAGTCGAGCTCGCCCTTGAACCCAACATGTGCTTGATCCACCCTTTGCGATGGGACGTTGTTGTTTTTCCACGACTGTGCCACCCTACATCGGACCTTCCAAAAACCGATGCGGGAAAAAAAAACAAAACCTAAGGAAAAAGGTCGGGACCTCTGGGGTCGCGCCTTGAAAAACATCGCCCGATGTGCTAAGCATTGCTATAGAAAAGGAGGTATGTTTAGGTCGGGCAGGTCCTCCTACAGGCAACGTAGGATGATAAATCAAGCATAATCCTAACATGCAAACAAAAACATAACATGTTAGAAACATCGGCCCCTGACTATTTCTTGACTATCATTGGAATCTCCCTCCTGTAGATAGACAAGTCCAACTTGTAGGTATGTCGCTGATCGACCGGAGAGCAGGGCCCTCGAGAGCGACACACCACGCGATTCTCTGGGCGGGCCAGGGTATGCATGCGAGAAGCGACGATAATTTGGGGGCGGCCAAGAGGGGGGCGTTCGAGAAGGGGGGGCGCAAATCATGGCCAGCGGCATGTGCGCGGCCCAGGGACGTAATAAAATAAGAGAAGGCGCCATGAGATCTGGGGAGATCCCATAGCCGCCGCAATGCTATCCCCCCCCCTGGTCGTCCCCCCCCCCTCTTGGCCGCTCCCGAATACTCGGCGACGATAACTGGGCGACAGCGGGGGCCGGTGGTCCCCAGGGGGAGGAGAGAAGGCGAGGCGGAGAACCACGACGAGGCAGAGAGGACGGGGAGGCGCCTCCTCGCAGTCGTGTCTTCCAGACTCTTCCAATCCCCCCTCCTCCGCCTCCACGACACTCCTCCACGCTCCTCGTTCCTCCTCCTTCTCCTCCTTCTTTCTCATCATGCTCCTCCTACTCCTCCTCCTTCTCCTCCTCCTCCTCCTCTTCCTCCTCCTCCTCGCTCCTCCTCCTCCTCCTCCTCGCTCCTCGTTCCTCCTCCACCTCGCTCCTCCTCCTCCTCCTCCTCCTGCTCCTCCTCCTGCTCCTCCTCCTCCTCCGCCTCCTCCTCGCTCCTCGTTCCTCCCCCTCCCCCGTGCGATTCACGCTCCTCGTCCTCCGCCGAGGTCCGCAGGCCTTCTCGTCGATTCACCCCCTTGGCGTCGCTGCGAGCGTTCTGAGCGTGCGGCGAATACAATGCAAAGGCAAAGACGAGGAGGGGGAGGAGGGAGAGGAGGAACGAGAAGCGAGGAGGAGAGGGGGAGGAGGAGGAGGAGGAGGAGGAGGAGGAGGAGGAGGAGGAGGAGGAGGAGGAGGAGGAGGAGGAAGAAGAGGAGGAGGAGGAGGAGGTGGACGAGGAGGAGGAGGAGGAGGAGGAGGAGAAGGAAAAACGAGGAGCGAGGAGGAGAAGAAGAAGAGGAGGAGGAGGAGGAGCATGAGGGAGAATAACCCTCCAGTCACGACACTCTCCTCGGCGGCGCGCCGGGGGGGGGGGATGCGAGAGGGGGCGGGCTTTCCCAGAAGGGGCTCGGAAGTCCCTCGAGCCTTCTGAGAAGATTTCGAAGCCTTCCGCGAAGGCGAGGACAACTTCGCCAGAAGGTCGCAGGGCTTCCGAGACGCCCCGCCGCCTATTCTGAGAGGGCCTTCTCCCCCCTCCCTGCGCTCGGCGCCGGTGCCCCTCGACCCTGGCTCGCCCCCCCTTGAGGGCGGACCCGCTGACGACCCCTCCTCCTCCTCTCCTCCTTCTCCTCCTCCTACTCCTCCTCCTATTCCTCCGATTCCTCCTCCTCCTCCTTCTCCTATTCCTCGGGTTCCTCCTCCTCCTCCTCCTCCTCCTCCTCCTCCTCCTCCTCCTCCTCCTCCTCCCTCCTCCCCCCCAGCCCGCGGAACGGCGCTGGAGCCCCAGGGATAGGCCACCACGCTGGGAGTAGTGCGGGCGCCCTCCGCGTTCGGGATGATCGTCGGCGTGCCGGCCTCGTGGTCGGACGAGGAGGGGGGGGAGGACGAGGACGAGGAGGAGGAGGAGGAGGAGGAGGAGGAGGAGGAGGATGTTTTAACATCCACGGCAAGGGGGAGAGCGTGACGCAGAGGGTCACGGAGAGGGGGACGAAGGGACGGGCATCGGGGGAGACCAATACCAAGGCCCAGCGTCGACTGTAACACCGTCGAGCCCGGGATTCCGACCAGAAGGAGGAGCACCCTGGAGGATGGGACCTCGAATGCTGTCGAATCTGATTAAAGGAACATTGGCTGGAATTCTTGGGAGGGGGTTCGTGAGCCCCGCGGGCGTGGCCTGGATTCCTGTCCGAGCCCCAGTCAGATCGCACACCGCGGCGAGCGAGGGCGGGGAGTGAGAAGGTGAAGGCCTTCTTAGAAGTGGGCGGGTCATCTCGGACTTCTCAGAAGGCCAGGGGACTTCCGAGCCCTTTGAAGAGGCCCGCCCCTGCTCACTTCCCCCTCTCGCTCGCCGCCGATAAAAAGGAGGGTGCGGTATGGGAAGATGGAGTCCCGTGGAAGGCCGACGGAGACGGAGGGTGAGGAGGGGAAGGAAAAGAAGGAGAGACTAGGACGGAACAGTACGGTATGGAGTGGTGTGGGAGGCCGGAGACGGAACAGTACGGTATGGAGTGGTGTGGGAGGCCGGAGTGAAGTAGGAGGGGTAGGAAGAGGCGGGAATACGGGGGAGGGAGTAGTGGTGGTGGTGGTGGGAAGGGGAAGGAGGCGCATGTGGAGGAGAAGACGGGAGGGGCGAACAGGAGGGGTTCTCCTGCTCCTCCTGCGAGGTACGTGATCGTTGTTTTGTCTATTGGGGGCAACCGCGTGTTACCCTGGGGGCGTCGGCGGGGGGACGTGACGGCAGTGGCGGCCAACGTACACCCCCGAAGGTGCAACCGCAACAACGGCGCAACAACCGCCTGCGTGCACCACAATCGGTATGTGTGTGTGTGTGTGTGTGCGTGTGTGCGTGTGCGTGTGCGTGTGCGTGTGCGTGTGCGTGTGCGTGTGCGTGTGCGTGTGCGTGTGCGTGTGTGTGTGTGATGTCTGTGTGTGCGACAACACCTGCATGCAAAACAACGCCTGTGCACACCACAGTGCCTGTGTTCACCTTGGCACCTGCGCGCAACATGGCGCCACATCGCTTGCGTGCACCATAGCAACTCTGTGCACCAGCACGCGCGTGCGCAACAACGCCATTGCACAGCACATGAGCGCCAGTGCCACGCAACAGCGCCAGTGCCACTGCACAGCACAGCAGCGACCTTGCACAACCAAGCAGAAGCGCCAATGCACTGGATCGTTCCCGTACACCATGTTGCCTGCACATAGCAGCCGGGTGCACCACACCGTGGCCGTGCACCAGAGTGCTTTCGAGAACCGGAACGCTCTTGTACACCACAATGTGCACCACAGCGCCTGTCGTTCGTGCCACACCATTGGGATTCACGGCAACGCCTACTCCTCAGAGACTCCGTGCACAAGAGTGCCCGCGCACACCACGGCGCGAGATCGAACAGAAGTGTTATCAAACTGGTCGTTTCGGCCCGGCCCCGCCTCCCTGGCCCGCACCTCCTCCCCACTCCCTGCCTTTTTTTTTCTGTCCTTGCGCGAAGTACCTTGCAAAATCGGCCGACCTGACGTGTGAGTTTCTGAGAGCGCGGGCTTGAGCTCGCTCAAGCTTCGCTCTGCAAGGGGGGGCGGGGACGCCATGCCCGACGCCATTCAGTGCTCGGGAGCCCGGGGGGGGGTCGCTCTGCAGGGGGGGGGGGACGCCATTCCCGACGTCACCCAATGCTCGGGAGCTAAGGGGGGGGGGGGGGGGGGCGTTCTGGAGGGGGGGGGGGGGCGCCATTCCCGACGCCGAGGAGCCCCCAAAGAGATCCCCAAAATGCGACCATTGTCCCAGTCCCTGGATTTGGAGGAAAAAAAACTAGCATTTGGAGCGTATTCGCTTCTTGAAACTTCACAGTTTCCAAGACGGCCCAAGAGGGCCCCAAGACGGCCAAAGAAAAGCCCAAAACGGCCCAAGACAGCCCCATGACGGCCCAAGACAACCCCAACAGTGCCCAAAAGGCGCCCAATAAGGCTCCAAAACTGCCAACGAAGAGTTCACGACGGCCCCAATGGGGCCCCCAGGAAGCCCCCAAAGGCCCCCAAGAGGCCCTGAAGAGGCCCCAACTGGCCCATAATAGGCCCTTAAGAGGGCCCCAAAATAGCACCAAAAAGCTCAAGAACTGCCTCCAAAACGCCCCTCAAAAGGCCTCCAGATGCCTCCAAGACGCCCTCCCGAAAGGGAACCGACTACCTCCCAAGTCGTCCAAAAAGCTTACGTTCGAACAGCCATGTGGCAATACTTTCACATATTCACGAATTCCACAATTGGATCCTCAATAATCTCACTGGTTCAAACGTCGTGGGGGTCCTCCAAGAGCGCCCCCAAAACATGGCGTGCAACAGCTATTTCAACATTTCATGGTTTTCGTGGTGACTCGCGCGCGAGCGTTATTTTCGAAGACCCAAAAGCTCCTCAACCGACGTCCACATGTTCATAGTATGCGGATGTCTCGAAAGAGGGCTGTACCTTCAGCACGCACGGTCATTCAGTCCCATCGGCATCGGGAGCGCCCCGGATCGGCGGCACTGGCCCGAGGCCACTACAAGAATGGCGACGAAAAAGAGGAACGCTACGACGACGGCGACGACGACGACGCCGACGACGTCGACGAAATTGACGACGACAACGGCGACGACGACAACGACGACAATGCCCATGCCCCTTCGAAGGCCTCCGAGCTACGCTAGTTGTCATCGTTGTCCCCCTCTTGCCCCCCCCCTGTTCTCCTCCTCCTGATCCTCCTCCCCGTGGGGGTCCGTAGGAGACCCCATGGAGACTGAATGGTTTTACGCCTGCGGCCGGTTGCCAGGCGTGAACACAAAAGGGGGGGAGAGGGTCTGGGAAGGTAACACGCGTTACACCTGGCGCCTGCACAATTGCCCACACTTGATGCATGCTTTCTTGGTCCGAATAGTGCGGGTACATGATGAGGTACATGATCCATTCGTATGGTGTGGCTCTGCAGCGCCTCTTTAAATGTAAATAATCGCCCGCATTCCTCCTTGAGCTCACATATCCAAGGTTGTCGTCCCAACCCTCGGAATTCGTGGTTCTGGCTCACTCCTGGCGTGGGTACTGCCACTGTGAGCATAGCCGTCCTGCCTTCTCGGACGTCTACCAGATGAAGCTGCTATCGAACGCTTAGCGCATGTAGTTTGCGGGTCGGAATCACGTCGCCAAGTCCCGTGCGCACGTTCTCCGACAGCCCGCAGACGTACCCGACGTCGTTCGCGAATATTCGGGCCCAGGGGTTCGTGTCGCGCTTGAGCTCGTCGGTCGCGCCGTCGTCGGCCGTTCTCTCGAAGACGATTCGGCCGCACATCGCGGCGACCAGCTGACGGCGGTGAGTCGGAAATCTCGAACTGTGTTTTGTCCAGCCAAGTCTGCGGACCAGTTTTCCGCCCTCTGGTGGCAAGATTTGCCAATGGCGAAAGACCTCCAAGGCTGTCATGCTCCTCTCGCTGTCGTCTTGACGGTGGGTAATAGTAGCTCCCCCTCCCATGGCGCGTCGGTGGAGAATGTTCACCGTGCTCTGCAACTGCAGGAATCGTCCGGCCTCGATCCACCAAAGGCACGCGTTGATGACTCTGTAGATCTGTACGGCTCGCTTCCATACGTACGGGATGCCAGCCTTCGACAAGCAGCCTTCGCATTCGTAGAGGGTTCTTCTTCATCGCCAGCACGCGCTTCTGGAGTGCCGAAGTATAGCTCTGCGTCGCTGTGATATGGGGGCAAGGTAGCGTGCTGCTTCGAGTACTTCGCGAGGCACTTCGCAACCGGGTGTTTTCTAAGGGGGTGTCGCGGGGCGGCTGGGTGGCGCCGCTGCCGTGGAAGTATACGATGTCATCATGAATGTCACGGTTCCGTCGCAGCCCTATCTCCTCTTGCCTCGCGACGAGCTTCTCGTGTACCTTTCGGCCGTACAGGAGGTTGTCCTGTCGATGTCATATGGACTATATGTTGCCCAGCTTTGGGTGTAGGGGGTGATGCCCGTTGCGGAGTTGCAGGCCATGTACGGGTCGCCGATCAATGTTCCGCAATGTGGCTTGATGTATACACCCTTGCCGGTGCCCCTGCAAGGCATGTGGAAAGTGGTTCGGCGATGCCGTGATTTTCCCAAAATCCATTTGAGATTGTGGCATGACCTCACGGTTGGCCGAATCCATAGCTACCCTCGGGCAGCTCGCGACGGCGCTGGCCATGTACATCCGCGTAGACGCGTAGTTCCTGCTTGCCTCGCTAGCCCTGTATCCCACCACTGCCATCGTCAATGTCGCCCCCTCTCGCCGTCGTCCTCTGATGAAGTCGTAGTCTTGGTCGCTGTGTACAGTGTGTCTGTCTCGTCTAGTGCCTTCCGAATTAAACCTTGCAGGAGCGGGCCATGATGTGGTATATCATTTTGTCACAGGGGCCTTTCGTCGCGTTCTGTCGTGCTGTTGTCGCTGCGCACTGATGCCATGTAAATGGTATTTCGTTGGCGGTTTTCTTGGCTGCCAACGCTGCTCTGAATAGGGCCTTGCAGCCTACCGGTTGGTTTGCTCCGCGTTCTGCTCCGAGTCGTCGTCGTCGTCGTTGGTGATGTTGCTCAGCCAAGTGACGCATAAGTAATCGCAATTGTTCGGAAGGTGTTGCGGAGCTGCTTTTCGTAGCTAGGCCATTTTCGGACTCTATGTGTCCTCGTAGGCGGCATCCACTAGCCCCTCTATGTCGCCATCGTCATCATATCCTTTTTTCCGCCATGGGCGGGATCTGTTCCATCCACTCCAAGTTCCCCACGTTCGGTCCCGTGCCTTGCATTCCTCTTTCGCGTCCTGGTAGCTGCCAAAAAATGATCCACGCCTGCTTGGTCGGGTTCGCGGTGACCGCCGTCCAATAGTGTCATTTTCGCAGTTCCTCGAGTCCTCCTGCGATTCGGCGCGATAAGGGTCCAACTCCTGAGCGAAGCTTCGTTACTCCCATGCCTCCTACAGCTCCTCGGCCATGGCATGGTTCCTCTGCTCGCACTCTCTGTTTCGCAGCTCTGCGCATTGCCTGGCGATATGCTTGAGATCCTGCTCTGGCTGTCTACGCATGATCTCTGTTTCGCTGAGTTCGGGCTGCGTTCGGTGCTCCTCTTCGGATCTGACTTTGGGTGATTCTGAACACGAAGAAGGTCATAATATAAGTGTGACCGATTACGAGCGAGTCTGAGCTGAGTATGACTGGGCCCGCGCAGGAAAGAATGCATCTGAGGATGAGGCCAGGGGGGGGGGGAGGTGTGAGGTCCGAAAACGTCTCAGAAATCCGACGACCCTGTCGGCGTGTATGGGGTGTTTGTCCGGCCCCGTCGACGGGGAGCATTCTTTCGCCACCTCCTTCACATTCTCCTCTCCCGTCCGGGAAAGGAGAGAGAGAGAGAGAGAGAAAAAAAAAAAAAGAGAGAAAAAGAGAGAGAGAGAGAGAGCACCCATCCTCGTTCCGGGAACGGGCTCGCAGCTTGAATTGAAGGAATTCCATTCACGTCCTCACTACGTCAAAGTGAAGCCCCTTCCCTTCGCCCCTTCCCCAGTCGGGAGGGGTCTGGAGGGGGAGATTCGCATCGTTTATGGGAGTCCTCCTCTCCCACGCCGGTCCTTCTCCGACGCGCCTGTCGTTCTCGGGTCATCCTCCCCAGGTGGAGAGCAGTCCCAAGGGGGGGAGGGGAGTCAGATATGCATGCGTCCTTGGGGGTCCTCCTCCCCCTCCCATGCCCTCTCCCGCGCCGGTCATCCTCCGGTCCTCCTCCCTGAAGGGGAGGGGCCCAGGGGGGAGTCCTTTTACTCCTCCTCCTCCTCCTCATCCTCCTCCTCCTTCTCTCCGCCTCCTCGTCCTCCTCCTCCTCCTCATTTTCCTCCTCCTCCCCTTCCTGGTCGTCGTCGATGTCTTTCAGGGTCGGCGGCACCGGCCGTCAGGCCATCACAATAATCAGAACCCCATCCTCGGATCTGCAGCAAAACCCAGAATCGAATCGAAAAATCGTATCGGCGATCGAAACGAATCGGATCGGCGGAAATCGGCAACCGAGCCGGGAGACGTCGAATCGGCGGAAATCGGCAGAGCGGTAATGCCTCCAATCAGAAATCGGAGCCCAAATCGGAAGCCTAAGCCGAATCGAATCGCAATCGGAAGCCATCGGGGTCGAATCGAATCGAATCGGAGGAGTCGAGACGAGCCCTGGATCTGGGGAGCACTTGCAACAAATCCCCGGACAGCAAAAAATCACGACTGCAACCCGAGATCGTGTTTTTTTCTTTGTTTTTCCTCGCAAGCATCCACATGCATGTAGCTCTGTAGCTCGTGCGCGTGCCAGTCGCATCACGGGCCACGTGCAAACAGAGCGCGAAGCCGAGCCAACGCTACCAACGCCGATGCATCAAAGACGTCCTGACAAAGAGAGCCCACGATAGAACAGAGAGCCCAGGATACAGAGACACCGCGTGTCTCTGCTGCACGCCTCGAGGCGGAGATCGATGTGCGTGACTCCCGAGGGCCCCGAAGGCCAGGCCTGGAGGCCACCCAGATCGGGCCGGGCGAAAGGGGGGGATAGCAAAGGGGGTTTGAGAATCAGCTTAAATAGCTGATTTCCTTGGCGCCTCCCGGCGCCGGAAACGGCTCTGCATCGAGGAATGGGCCCCTCGGTGGAGCCGAGACCAGCTGCATGCAGCAGACTTCGTACCCCCCCCTGTCCCCTGACCTTCCAGAGAGCTATTTGTTAGCACTGGAGGCCTAAAACCATAACAAAAAAAAACGGAGCGAACCAGCCTAAAACCAAGACATAGAACAGCCTTGGGATAGGTTTTTACGTCGCGTGCTATTTTTTAGCCCTCTTGGAAGGTCAGGGTTCCCAATCCCCCCCTCTCGTCCGGCCTCGTCCAGCCCGACATGAGCGAACCAGCCCAAAACCAAGACGTAGAATTGCCTTGGGATAGGCTTTTTACGTCGCGTGCTATCTCTTAGCCCTCTTGGAAATCAGGGTAACCCCCCCTTTCCCAATCCCCCCCTCTGAAGGGGCCCCAGGACACACAAATAAATACACACAAATAAAAATATTCCCCATATTTTCTTATATTTGTGTTGGTTTTTGTCTTCCCCACCACTTCCCATATTTTTGCATATTTTCCTTGGAGTCGACGATTAATTGTGTCTGTGTGTTTCTTTCCCTCCTGACCCTCTCTCGTCCGGCCTCGTCCGGCCCGACCGGAGCTGCCCGCCCGACCGGAGCTGTGGGGCGACCCTGCCCGGTGGGAAGAGCCACGACTGCGTACGTTGCGCCCTCCGTCGGCGGCGAGGCGGAGAGGCGGGCCGCTCTCCGGCACGGAGGGCTCACTTCGGGGATGGACAGACCCCCCTTTAGCAAAACGTGGTTTAGTGAAAACGATCTGAGGCCCAAACCTGGCGGGCGCAAGCCTGGAAAATAACGGCCACGGCGCCCTCTCGAAAACCGAGAACGGACAATTCACTAATCGACGTGTCACTGTTGGGGGTTCTGTCCACCCCCGATCACTTTTTTTGTAGGTCGGGCGTGTCCTCCTGCAGGCGGAGCCTGGACAGCAAAACTTAGAGCAGATTCAGAACTCAGTGGGCCCTGGAAACGACAGGGCCGTTTTTGTTACCGGTTCCGTTCTGCCGTTTTTGTGGCCCGTTGCGATGCCCTTCTTTTACCGGTTCCGTCGCCGTGGTTGGACCGGTTCCGGCTCCGGTTCCAACCCTGGAGCCGTTTGTTTGCCGTTTCCTGTGGCCGTTTTGTTGCCGTGCCCATTTTCAAGGGGCACTTTTAGGGGAAACGGAGACGAAAAAACGGCCCTGCCGTTTCCGTGGCCCACGAAGATTCAGAAAAGCTCCAAACGAATGCTAAAAAACAAATGCCCCTGGAACATCCTCTTCTCCAGTTTCTGAACTCTCCTCCTGTACACCCTGCGAGATGCTTAAGAAATCATGGGTTAAGAAATTCATAGTCTCAGAATTTAAGTAAAAACCCAAAATGTCAATTAAAATCGTAAGATTTACATTGAAACATTAAGAATAATCGAGACTCTGGCCGAAAACTTAGGTTTTCTTAAGCATCGCCTAAGGTGTAGAGGGACAGGCCCAGCTTGAGGCTGATCGGGGCAACCGAGCTGGGCGAGTCGGCCGGCATGCCAGGGGAGAGGAGGAACCGAAGGACGAGAGGGCGGCCGCGCGGGAGGAGGAGGAGGAGGAGGAGGAGGAGGAGGAGGAGGAGGAGGAGGAGGAGGAGGAGGAGGAGGAGGGTGGGCCAAAGGCCACTCGAGATTATCCCAACCGAAGGACGAGAGGGCGGCCGCGCGGGGAACGGAGACGAGGAAGCAAGGCAACGAGAACGAGAACTAGAACGAACACGTGAACGAGAGCGAGAACGCGAACGGAACGAGGACGAGGACGAGGACGAGAACGGAACGCGAGCGAGAACGCGGAAGGAGCGAGCGTGAGCATGAAACATGCGACTCTCGCGGACCTCAGGGAGCGAGAAGGGAGAGCAGGCTGCTCCAGCATCACGGGGCACTCCGGGGCGGCCAGAAAAGGCGAGGTGGACGGCATGCAGTGGGGGAGGAGAAGGACGCAAAGGACGCGAGGGCGGCCGCGCACGAAACGAGAAAACGAGCAGAGGAGAACGAAACATTGGGAAGCATGCGAACGAGAGCGAGAGCGCGAGCGAGAGCGAGAACGAGAGCGAGAGCGAGAGCGAGAGCGAGGGCGAGAGCGAGAACGAGCACGAGAGCGACCCGCGAGGACAGCAGGGAGGGCGAGGAGGGGGGGACGGCGCAGGCGAGGAGGCCGGCGCCGGCCGCCTCCATGGCCGCCACGGCGGAGTTGGTGGTGCCCAGGTCGATGCCCACCACCTTCTCGCCCGGGGCCACCTCTCGAAGGCGCGCCAGGGAGGGAGGGAAGGGGCAGAGGAGACAGGCACCCAGACATGATCGCGTCGCAAGACAATCAGGACGGGAGGGTTTGGGCTATTTTCTGACTCGGGGGCCCTCGCTGAGCCTGGGGATCGTCAAACAACGACTCAGGATGAAAGACCGGTCCAGGGGAATGGGTTGAGAGGCCTGAGGGTCGACGTAATCAAAACATCATGACGTCGGGGGGGTGTGGATGGGGCAGGGGGCAGAGGAGACAGGCAAGGGAGATTGCGGCGAGAAGGCACAAGCAGGGACTCCAGGATGACCTCTCTGTTTTCCCCAGAAAAAGGGGGGGGAAGGAAGCGGGAGAGACCCGTACATTCTCGAGCCCATTCCTCCCAGATCATCGATCCTGCATCCTCCTACTCGAACCCCCCTCCATCCTGATCCATTATCCTCGGTTCTCCATTGTCCTCCTCCTCCTCCTCCCCCTCCTCCTCGACTCTCCTCCTGGTATGTTCAGTGCGGTCTCACAAGAAGTGCCGGACCGCTCCCAGGGGCCAGCGCCTCATCCTGAATAGTTGCCGCGTGACGGCCCCAGTGGCTACGTCCTGACCTCCGTCGTGCGGGAGGCGGGCGAACGCCTCCATGTCCCGAGGCAGGCGCTCGGTCAGTCCGCGGGCAAGCTCGGCAACCGGGCAGCGTGAGCGGAAGCTTTGGCGGCGCGCGCCCAGGGCTGGCGGGGGAGGGGGATGCTAAGAAGGCAGGGGCTCCGCAGAAGGGCCGGGGAGCTTCTGAGGAGGCCTTTCGGAAGTTGCCGAGTCCTTCCGGGGGGCCACCCCCCACCTCCGAAATCAGGAGCCCCCCGCCATCGCCGAAGGCCGTCCCCTTGGTGTCCTCCCTGGGTGCGCGCCGACATGGGATGGCGACCCAACGGGCACCGCAAGGCTGAACGCCGCGACTATCGACTGTCGCCATGCTTTGCCGTCTGACGGCAAGGTCTTGCCACAACGCCGTGGGTTCTGTGTCTCTCAGCAGCATGGACAGAACAACACACCCGTATCTTTCTGTACAGATGACTACCTACCAGACCACCCCAACCCAACCCGAAGACCCGAATTGGACCCGAATTTCGGGTTGGGTGGGGTACGGGTTCCATGTGTTGTTCCAACGTTCCCAGACCCCCCCCCCACTGGAAATCGAGGATAGATTTGGACCTTCGGGTTGGGTTGGGGTGGTTTGGTGGGTGGTGAACAGAGGAGGCCACATGGGATGGGGGGGCCAGGCGCGCTTCCCTCGGGCACCCATCTCCCTCCATGACCGCGCGAACCAAGGCTTGACCGAAACGTTGTGTTTCGTGCTGTTATCGTGCTGTTGCTCATTTTGCTCTACCTGTTTTCCTGTACCTCCCTGCCAAGCCGAACAACAAAGCACAGCCCCGGCACGAACCGTGAGACCTCGAACGATCTCTACCAGGGCAAGAGGGGGGCGGGGGGGCCGGGCCAATGCCGCCCGGGGGGCTTTGTAACAGAAGAGGATCGACACACACACACACACACACACGCACGCACGCACGCACGCACGCACGCACGCACGCACGCACGCACGCACGCACGCACGCACGCACGCACGCACGCACGCACGCACGCACGCACACACGCACGCACGCACGCACGCACGCACACACACACCATCATCATCATCTGTCGGATGCGCCCGCGATCTTCCTGCATCGGCGCCGAGCCCCCGCCCTGGCGCGGCCAGCGCCGCCGGCTTCGGCGACGGAGGCGCTGCCCAGGGGTGCCCAGCGCAGATCCGAGACGTCCGCGCGGCCCTGTCTGGCCATCGCTCGGACGTCCATTCCCTGTGTTTGTTCGGTTTCGTGCCTGGTTTCTTCGCCAAGTGATCGAGGATGCTCCTCGATGGTCCTCGCCGAAGGAAAAATGCACACGTCCGAGCGATGCCAAGCTGTTCGCAGCGTTGGCCTCCGAAGACGGGCACGGGCCGCTGGCGCCGGAGGGCCGCCCCGCACCGCCACGGCATCGGCAGCGGCGTGCTGGGGAAGGACGGGGCTCCAGATCGAGCCGCGCCGCCGAGACGCATCTTTTGCGGGGCGATCCTCCGACCCCATCTGCTCCCGCCCCAGCTGCGAGGCCTGTGGGTGTGTTCAAGACTGACATTCGTCTTAGGTCGGGCATGTCCTCCCCTGGGCGGATCTTGGACGAACCATAAAACATCGTCCAACAAATAATAAACTCAAACGAATATTCAAAAATAGTAGAAAGATCGTTCGCAGACGAGTTTGTGTACTGCTTTTTGAATATACCTCCTGTAGAGGGGCACGCCCGACTTAGCATTAGTCCCACCAGCCCTTTGGCCGCAGGTGGCCTGACGAGCTCGATCGAGATCCTCTTCCAAAACGTTACTTCCCTTCGGACAGGGGCACCCTCCCCCTCCCCGCCCTGAGGACGAGGGCGCGATGTGGCAAAGAGTCAATGTTTCGTCCAAGATGGTTGCGAAAAGGCCTTTGATGCTCCAAGATGGCCTGCAAGGCGGCTCGAGATAACCGAAGATGGTTCCAGGTAGCTTCCGACGTATCTCCAGGAGGCCCGACCGTGGCACAAAAAACGGTGCCCAGTGCTCTCGGACCCCCTCGGGAACTCCGAAAAAGCCAACATCTGCAACACAAGCGATGCACACACATGATTACGTGTCCCATCTGTCTTCTCCCTTTTCGATTCCGATCTGCGTTTGAGGCATCAGGATTGCCACAAAATGGCCCAAGAGAGCCTTAACAGGGGCCCGAGAGACCCCAGACGGCCCCAAGAGCGCCCAAGAGTGCCCAACGAGGGGCCCCAGAGGGCCGCAAGAGGCGATCTGAGGGCTTGGGGGGGGTCTAAATAAAGGACCCCTTTCCTGGCATCGATGGCCTCCAACATGGCCCCAGGAGGCCCTACAAAACTTCCACAAGAGCCCCAAGAGAGCTCATCGAGTGCCTCAAGAAGGCCCCAAGACAGCCAAAGAGCGCCCGAGAGCGCCTCAAAAGCTCCCCACGAGGGCCCAAGAGGCGGTTTGCCTCCTCATTCTCCTCCTCCTCCTCCTCCTCCTCCTCCTCCTCCTCCTCCACCACCTCCTCCTCCTCCCCTCGACCCCCCGCGGGCCTCAGGGAGATTTCGAAGAGGCCCTCCAAGGCCAACCCCTTTCTCTCAAAAATCTTTGGTCATCCTGGTTGCCCGCGCTGTTTCCCTATATGTGTCTCTTCGTCCCTTCACCCATCAACTCTCATTGGCAGCGGCCGCAGGCGAGCGCGCCAGCGGCGAGCACAGTCAGAGCGGGGCGCGCGCAGACGAACTAACCGAAAGCGGTGGGCCGGAGCCTCACGCAACACCTCAGCGGCGAGCCGTCGAGTGGAAAGGGCAGGCGGTAGGCGGGTCACCAGCACTGCCAAAAACGCGCACAACTCGTCGGAGCAGCGGGAGGCCAGGGGTAACCGGCAACCAGGGGAAGCCGCATACGGGAACTAGGTGCAAGGGCACGAGCCCCCGGACTACCGCGAAAGTGCAAGGGTGGCCGCAGCCAAGTGAACCGACGGTCGGAGATCGAATTGGGTGCCCAGACTGGGCGTGTACATCGGCAAGCTGCGAGGTACCAGGGTGGCCGAGGCCGGGAGGTCCAACAGCAGCAGCACGCACAATTGCGAAGAGCAGCCGGGCTGCACCGCGGCCAACATGGCGCGAGGGCACCACGGAACCGTGGAACCAACTCGGGGACCCAAGCTGTGACCCAGAGCCGGACGGGGGCACGGGGTGGCGCCAGCAAAATCGCACACCAGAAGCCCTGAAAGGGACGGATTACGTGCCCGCAGTCAGCACACCGGAAGTGGCGACAGACGAACTCCGACACCGCGGGGAGAACCCGGTACTGAAACCAGGGTTGCGAACGCGGCGTGGCGGGAACACGGGAGGTCTATAGACTGAACCACAGACAACCGCGACATGGGCGGAAAAGCGAGGAAACCAGAGCGGTGGGGAACGACACCAGGCTGGTGGGGATACTTTTTTGGTCGCGGCCGCGAGCGAAGAGCGCAGGCGGCGAGCAGGGTGTCCGGGCCAACGGGCAAGCCGAATCAGCTACAAGGCGCGCCGCTAGCCGGCCGGCCCACTCACAAAGCAGTCGCGTGGCTGCGGGGAAGCTGACGGCAGGGGGCATCCTGGGAAGTTCGGGCACGCGCAGTGGACAAAATGTCGAGGAATTCGATGCCTGCCGCGAGGCATGACCCACACAGCGACATGACGTGTACCGGAGCAAACGTGTCCGCCATACTGAATGGGGGCAGGCGCGAAGCCCGAGGAGCGAGTCGCCAGTGAGGCGCCAGGCTCCAACCGTCCCAACGACGTGTGCTGGCTAGGGGAGCTGAGCTGCCGAGGAACGTGGAACGACGCGACCTGCCGGGGGCGGGGGGATGAGCCCGGGGTGTTGCTGCTGCTGCGAAAGGCTGAACCACTCGATGGCGATCTCAACACCCTCAAGCCCACCAGACAGTGCACGTGGTAGGCCCAGACGACCGCGAGCCGGCCCCGTGGACAGCGGCACGGCGCTAGGCCAGGGGGGCTAGAGGAGGCTGGTGGGGATACGCGAAACGTGCAGAATTTTCAAAATTCTCATCCCGCATTCCTTTTTGATGGACCGCCTGGGCCCGTCGATCGATCGATCGAAGATCTGGGGGTGGCAGATCGCCGGGAATCTGGGGATGTATACGTCGTCCCCTCCCGGGGGCGCCGTTTCCCTCAAGTTCCTCGTCCTCCTCCTCCTGCTCCTCCTACTCCTCCTCTGCTTCCTCCTGTGCCGCTGGGCTTCGCTGGGTGGGTATTGGCGGCGCGCATAAGGGTGGAAGGGGTGGGGAAAGGGCGTCTTAGAAGAGGATTGAACTTACGCCTATCCCTAAGATCGGCAAGCCCAAAGCCGATGGCAATCTTAGGGATGTGACCTCAGAAACTGAGGGAACGCTTCAGATCGGCGTCGAAACAAGGCGATGCCAAACATGGGGATAGGGATATGTTCAAATCTGGTACGTATCTCCTGACCAGGGTCAATCCAGACCCGGGTCAGTCAGGTCTTGCAGGACCATGCAATATCCTGCACCCGAGCCCGGGTCAGTGCACCCCTGGCCCAGCAGGATCCTGCAAGATCTGGCGATCTGGGTGACCCCCGTTTGCACTGACACCCGTCTCGTGAGCGTCGACCCCCCCCCCCCGAGGGTTCGAACCGGCGAGGGGCGTCCGAATCGCAGTCCAGCCTAAAACGTAAGAAGAGCTCCGCTCCTCCTCGGACGCGCGCAAGGGTCAGGCTTCGAGGCTCGAAGACCGCACTTCCAAGGCTCGACACAATGTTGTCGCCGTCCCCTTCTTGGCCCTCTGCGGCGTTCTTCGTGGCCACGGCTGGTTTCCTCTCGAATTGGGGGACCGTGTCTGTCTCGTCGCGGCCCTAATTCATCCGTCGGACTCATCGGATCCGCGTCGAATCCGTGTCGAATCCGCGTCGAGTCCGCACCTAATCCGCGTCGAGTCCGCATCGAGCCCGCGCCAGGCACAAAATAAGACACTGATCATGGGGACAGGCGAGGTCCCCCGAAGAAGCAACGCAAAATTCGGACCTGACCGCCTGAGAGGTCCCGGGTCCTGGGTCCTGCGAACGGCTCTGGCATTCGGCCCCGTCCAGACGAGGGCCTCCATCTCCTCCTCGTCCTCCTCCTCCTCCTCCTCCTTCTCTTGCTCATCGCTCCTCCTCCTCATTGCTCCTCAATCCTCCTCCTCCTCATACTCCTACTCCTCGCTCCTCCACCTCATCCTCCTCCTCCTCCGCCTCTTCCCCCTCCTTCTCGCTCCTCCTGGCTCCTACTCCTACTCCAAGCTCCTCCTCCTCCTCCTCCTCCTCCTCCTCCTCCTCTTCATCTTCCTCCTTCTCATCCTCCTCCACCTCCTCCTCTTCCTCGCTCCTCCACATCCGCCTCCTCCTCCTCCTTATCATCATCATCATCTTCCCCCTCCTCGGCCCTCGACCCTCGATCTTCGACCCTCGTCGAACCTCCTGCTCGACCCTCGACCCCAGGGCGCCCCGCCTCGGCACGCCTCTGCGCGCGCCCGGCGCGCCCCGCCTCGGGGAGACGTTCACGGTTAGGTCGGACACGTTCCCCTACAGGGGGCTCCATGGACGAGCAATCGAAGATACCGAAACAGAACCTCAACAATGGGTAAACAAACATCGCCCCCAGACTATCAGT